TTTAGGGTATCAGGGATTATTTCTAGTTAAAAGAGATCCTTCGATATTTTAAATTCTCTTTTGTAAACAGAAATATTATATTGTTGAAAAGTTAATGGAATACCCTTAAAGCTTAAAATATTTTTAGAATAAATATTAGTAACGCAAATTTTTAAAATAAGAGAAACTCTCAGGTTGATTTCCTGTGAAATGAAATATAGGATTTTGATTTTATAAAAAAAATCAGAAAATATTCTTTTAAAGTTCCAGACAAAATTCTAAAATAAATAAACTTCGAAATGTTTTTTAAATTAAACTAAATTAGTTGTTAGTCACAAAATTGTTTCTTAATATAAAAATTCACGAGTATTCAAGAATACAAAAATTTCTGTATTTTGTAAGACACATTTTTAGCTACTTTTAGTATTTTATTTTCAATAATTTTTTTTATGGCTTTACCTACTTTAAAATATATTTTTGGGCTTGCACATATAAGCATATTAGAAGAGCATTTAGGCCACGACATTGTCCTTTTTCCGAGACTGGCAATTGAAATGTGTCACCATTTTGTAGCTTTATGCATGCATCGCTCGCTCCGCCGGGCTCCATAAAAAAACAGGGCTTATCATTCGCTCTTCTGCCGGCCATTTTGGCGAAGCGTTTTAGCTTAAGCGCCCATTCTTTTCGCCAAAAGTCTCTTAGCCCCCCATCCACTTTAGCGGCCATTTTTGCTAGCATAAAATATTCTTTTTATGCGCTCACGATTTTAATGCGCTTTGGTCATTTTTATGAAGCTGTGGTCTCCTACTACTGCATATATAGCCTGTCATTTTGTTTGAAATTCATGAAGCACAGCGCGGTTTTGTAAGCGGAAGACTTAAGCTGCCATTGGCCAGCGGATTGTGGGGGTTTTTGGGTGGGTCGATGGCAGTGTCTCAGTATGCAAATGCAATGGCCCAGCTATTTAATTATGTATTTAATACGCCAGTTTGCATAATTAACCAGTGCACTTGGGAACCTTCGAAGGACGAGGAGTACTCAAAGCATCTTTTACTGACTGCTTTAATTCGTCTCTAAATGAGATGAGTTAAACATTTAACGCTTCGATGCGACAGGACCAAAAAAGGACGTGCTCGTGTGTCTCCCGTCAGCCATTGTTTATTTATATTGAGCAAACGCGACTTGAAGTGTGCGTTGCGTGTGAAATTGTCACGTCAACGGGCGAAACCAGTGAAAGTCAAAAGTGGATGCCTTGGATACGGTATGTGTCTGTCTGCCTGTTGAAGAGATGGCACCTGCCGTTTGCTTTGACAAGAAATCAAATTAACAGCCCGCAACGTCTTGCCACATGCCACATTTCCTCCTATCCTCCTATCCCCCTGCCAAACCGACATTACTCATACGCCCTGTACGGCAGATAGCTCTCAAGTGGCTCTTTGTGTGTGCTTTTGGCCCAACCATTGACCTGAAACCCCAGGGTCTGGCCAAAGTGGCACTACTCTCGCCCGGCTGGCTGGCTGGCCTAAAATGACTAGCACTCTCGACCCTCCGATTCAAATGCATTTTAGCCCAAGGGAGAAAAAAACAGGCAGCCCATGCATGTATTCATTCATTCATTCCTCGAAAAGTTTTTCCACTACCACTGCTGGCTGTGAGTGCTTTGCATTTTGTTTTGCCTTGACCAAATGGGCGAAATTGTTAACTTTACATTTAAGCAGATTACAAAACATCAGGAGAGGATAGCCGCCTCCTGGCTGCCGAGCTCCCAGGCTCCCCCGTTGATCCTGTTCATGTCACAAGCTGCAATGCCTGTCAGCCTTGTGTCAATCATTTGCCACTGCGGCAGCCTGTAACTGGCTTTAGTGCGAAGATAATTGTTTTTTGCTGCTGCTGTTGCTCTCTGTCTGTGTTGCCACGCCAGGCTTTAAATTATTTTGTTTCGCTTTTGTGCAGAGCTCTTGTCCAACCCAAAAAAAAAGGGTCCAAACGTGACAGTGGCTTAATGGATGTCGGGCTTTGCTCTCAATTGAATGTGACATCATCAGTCCAGCTCCCAACTCCACCTCCTTCACCCCAAACCACCCACTCAAACGCTCGCGGCAATTGCTAATTGCCACCGCCTATTTGAGGCCAAAGCTAATTTCGATTAGGCAAAGCCGCAGACAGCATCAGAAATTTCTATTTGGTTTTCGGTTTTGTACATTCAATTGCAGTTGCGGTTGACCGGTAAAAAGTCTAATGAATTCTATAAAAAAAACCAATTGGTTGGAAAAGGGAAGAGTCAATCAAATAAGTCAAAGTCAATGAGCTTTCAACATTGGGGAAGTTTTGAGTCATTTCGGTTTAACCCACACGCTGTAAGTCCCCTATAACGTGTTTAGTATTTTCGTGGTTTTTAATTTATTCTTCGGTTGAATAAATTAATATTATTAAAAAAAAAAATATAATATCATCATCACAAAAAGGTTTACAATTTCTACAAGTACTTTATCATTAAATTAAAAGTAATAATTACCACTAAATTCTTTTAAAAACATTTCTCAAATATAGAATTTATTATCCCGTTTTTAGTTATTAACATTATCTGCTTTATTAGCTAAGGTCTCTTAATAAATTAAGTTTGCATTAATTTGGCTTAGTCTATCTAAAATAATTTCTCAATTCAAAGAACTCATCAGGTTAATATTCACTCACACACAAGTTCAAATTTTAACACAATTATACACATTTGAATTTTATACGACCTGTCATTGCCTTTGGAAATTCGAGCCAAAATTGCAGTAGTCACAATTTGAATAAATAATGCATGAGAAATATATTACCGAATTGTTCCATTTCGGTTGGTAGCAGAAAGGCAGTTGGCAGTTGGCAGCTTCGGTAGCAAAGAGTGAAAGCATCGTTGATTAATTTAATTACGTGGCTCTGGAGCCAAGCGACGACTAACCGCTTCAGTGATCCAATTGAAAAATATTTTATATTTTAATTGAATTGCATTAAAATTCAATGTGCAATTTAATTATCATGGGCAGAGGGCTGTTGACGACTGGCTTTGGCTTCCAGGCATGCCAATTGATTTGGCAACGGTGGCATGCCACATATCGTCGGCATTGACAACATTGTTGTCGCGCTACCGTTATTTCTATGGATCCGTGTGCGCATCATTTGATAATTAGTAGCCGTGCTGTAGCACCGTTGACCAATAATTGCATATCACTATGTGGCCGCATGCAAATGAGGCGGAAAATAATGAGTCTAACGATGCGTTCTTCGCTCGTTTAATTTGTTTTCATTGTTTTTTTAGACCCACCTACGTCACTCTTCGTCAGTTGGGTACATGAAATGCTCGTTAGAACTAGTACGGTGTGGCATAGTAGGTATATCATACACCGAAATTAAATAGGTTTGTAATGCATATGATAAAGGAAAGATACAATCTAATCTGTTTTAAGAAAGTTATTTGTTTTACTACTAACTCGTTAGCATAAATATTTGTATAAAAATCGTAAAGTAAATTTACTAAATTATTAAAATATATATTTGATTTTTGGTTATACCTGATAGACCCAATTTAAACCTTTTTTTTCGGTGTGCATCTCCTCGATGTAGAGTAAAATAAAAAAAAGTGCAGAAAGAAACCCGCGTGGAAGTGCAAACTTATGTGCATTTTTGTGTAGCAATAACCGCTGCAGTAAATTCCATTTGTGCGGCATGCAAGTCCGCCCCCAAGGAGGCGTGGCAAGCCGGCATGTTGGCAGGAATTTGTGACTCTCTGCTATTGAATGCCTGTGAATATTGGCTGGTGCAATAGCACATGCTGTGCGCCGGCTGCCACTTATCACCCAGTTTCCCAGGAAGAATACAGAAGAGGCGCCCCGAAAAACTTTGAACAACTCTATTAAAATTGTAAAAGGCAGTCAAGTTTTGTTTCTACCCATTTACCAGATTTATTATTTATATTGCAAGTTTATCACACAAGCAGGCCCAGAAAGTATTTCATTGGGCACACTCACAATAAGCGTAGCACTTGCCACCCGTCGGTTTTTGACTCGTTGACAGCTTGAAGCCTTTGAGGGCCAAATCGTATTGTCCTTAATTGCTTTTTAAAGGTCTGGAAACTGTCTGTTGGTTAGTCACACAGGTATGTATGTATATATATTGTACACAGGTGGAGATCGGTGGGCGGATGCCCCTGCAACATTTGTTTCAAGCAATTTACTTCAACATAATCATATTAAATTTTCTCCACCTACCCGTTTAGCTCGCCAGGTCCTTCCATCTGTGCTCGGTGCTCCTGTGTGTGTTTTTCTGAGGGGGCGTGCACATCGTTTTTGTCTAGCACTTGCCACCTGGACTCAGGGACTCTAGGACTCCAGGACTACAGGACTCTGGGACGCCAGGACTCGTCGGCCTGTGTATCTGGAAAATTATACTTAAAAGCTGGGAGCGTCCTCCCATAATACACATACAAACACACACACATGCGTCTGACTTTGTAAGCTGCTGGCTGACACCAATAGAGTCTCCGGTACACATACAGTTACACTGGTAGCCGGGCGTCCTTTTTATAGTTGCTCTGCGGCAGGACCTCCACTGACTCTGCTGTGTTTATTCTCTCATTTTTTTCTATTTTTTTCCTTAGCATTTCCCTTTTTGCCCAGCCCAGGTCGTTGGCTTTTTGCCTCACACACGGGGGGCGTTTTCATTTCCTTGCCGGCGGCACATGCAACATCCTGGGGCAACTAAGGCCCTGCTGCATATACTACCTACATACAGCAATTATAATTTCCTTCTAATTTCATTTGTAATAAAGTAAAAGGCCTTTTGCCACGGCTTGAGTCATGCGGTGATTATGCAAATTCCCTGAAATCCATTCGCCACACCCAAATCATTTCCACAACTCATGGTGCTCTGATCATTTCCTTCTAACACTCGGCCATGAAGGTTTTCTGGTTGCTTCTCTTGGGTAAGTTTAGAAAATATATAATAAACCGAATCCCTCTAAAACCCAGATTTTAGTATCGTATTTAGGGGCAGTCAGGGGCGAGGGCAACTGTACGATCTGCTCGGCCTGGGTTGACCGTCCGGTTTGTGGCTTCAACAATCGATGCTACACCAGCTTCAAAAGCTCCTGTGAAATGGAAATGTTGAATTGCAAAATGCCAGATTCATACAGTGAGTACAGTGAATTATCCCTTTATTTAATACTTTTTTTCCTTACATTGCATTTTTATAGGATTTACAGAGACTCCTTTTTATGGCCATTGCTTTAGGCACACTGTGACAAAATGCAAGGCCTATGTCTTGTTGCAACAGGTGAATAAAGTAGACAGATCCGTGGAAATGTTTGCTTAATTATTGGTCAATAAATATTTAACACGAATTTAAAGTGAACACAATATGTACTTCTTATATTTTACAAGTCACACTTCCTTCTTATAATAAAACCGCCTTATTCCCACTTATTGCTGCTGCGCCATTATGCCGAATAATATTAAAAAACAATTTTCTTAAGCCCCAATCCACTTAAACCTCTTTTAACTGCCATAATAGTTTAACAGTGAATGAAATACTTTACTTATATCAGGCAATTTAACTTCAAAAGGACTCGCAGTTCCTTTTTTGTGGGCGATGGGCGGCTGAGAGTTCGTGGTTACCCAACAGAGCAGAACGGCCATTAATATGAATCGGTTACTTTCTTTTTTGTTGCAACCTTTGCTTTTAAAAACAAACAGCAACAGTAGCAACATAAAGAAGAATTGCATCAAGCATATAAATGGATAAACATTTATTGCAGTTTATTGAAAAATTGGCGGTTATCGTACACAGAAGCGAAGCAAAAGGGATGCCAGAACGGGAAAATTTGCACGACCGTTAAGCGTTTTAATTTCACACAAGAGACGCAAAGTTAAATGCGCTACATTCAATTGGTTGGGCATTATGGTTAGTGAAATACAAAAATAATATTGTATAGAAATCTCAAGATATTTGAAATATTATAACATTAATCAAAATAAATCTTATCATAACAAATCCTACAGGACAATTTAATTTTCCCCTGTGACACATGTAATTAATAGGTAACTTTGCTTTGCTATGACAACTATAATTATAATTTGGCCACTCGAGGAATTATTAAAATTATCCCTGCATGTGGGAATCCGAAGGGTGCCCCATTATCCCTTGGCTGAGCCCACTTATACTTATGCACACACATGCATATATTTATTCAACCATTTATATTTGTGTTGCGTGCCTGCACTTTATGGCCACGCAGACACTACGGGCTGCAGTAAATTAAGTCGTTAATATCTTGTTTATCATGGCCTCCGCTGCTCCACTGCTGTTGGTGGTCGTTGGTCATTGGCCATTGGTCCGCTGGTCCGCTGGCCATATGTTGACCCAGGTCGTGACTATGCTCCAGTTAATTACATGATTTATACCCATAAATATATGCATTGAGCTTGATTTATGAAATTAATTACTACGCGAGTTTACCGGCCACGTGCGTTGGCGCCGGGGTGGAAAAATTTTGTTGCATAACCCATAGGGGCACACGGGCAAAGTGCTAATCACTTTATCACTTGCAACAAATACAAATTCAGCCGACGCGCTCACACATAAGGATAATTTAATTTTATTGAGCCAGGCACGAATGAGCAGCTAGGATATACAAACATATATAATATATGTACGGTATGTATGGAGAGCTGGCCGCCCACTTTTCCCCAGCCCCAAAACTTACCAACCAACTAGCAACTCATTATAACTGTTTTATTAGCAGTTCGCGCGGGAAACTCCGGTAAAGGATCTCCGTTCTCCTTTCGCTTCGCCTGTTTCATTTACACTCGCTGTCTGGAATTACTTTATTAGTCTAATTAAATACGCCACTTGTACGCAAAATGGCACGCGGCTGTGAAAACGCTGAGCAAACAATTAATGAAATTAGCCAAAGTGTTTTTCTCGGCTGGGAGGATTTCTTTGCTCTAATTAGATTAATTAATGGCTGCGTTCCGGGTTCAATTGAATGCCTACAAAGGGAACCTAATAATCCTGGCTGCATCTGCATCTGCTGATTTAACATGACGCATGGCGAAAACTACCAGAAACACCTGCGAATCCGCCTGCACATAGCCACATCCACAAAGTGCCGCCACACCCGATGCGACGACATCGGCGATTATGGCTCCGAAAGCGGAAACAGGAAACGGGAACCGCTGAATTCGCGACCCACATGCGGCCCAGCCAAAGATATATATAGCCACCGGGATTATGTCTGCACTGTGGAATCGCAAAGTGTCACCATGCCACATATACTGCAGAAACAGAACCGCTGGCTAAACGTAAGCCAGATACAGAAACAGAAACGAATACCAAACTCACTCTCGCACACACAAGTAATTCCCTTTATTCTTTCCTGGCAGCCGTAAGTTTTTAAATATTTACACATATGCGAGAGTCTGTATATCTGTGTATGGTACTTGCAAGGCATCCGGTAGGAAAACAACTGGAAAGAACTTGGTCGAACAACATTTGCACTTGTTTCATGTTCTTGGTTTCTCTGGGATTTTTAATTATATTTTAAAGTATATAAAGTATATATAGTATAGTATACTACAGAAAATTATTATTAAAGAAGCTGTACTATTTTAAAATAATTATTTAAAACCTTCTGAAGCATATTAAAACTTAAAACTATTTCTTAAAAAATTGTAAAAATAAATTCGTTTCTAGTTTTTGAAAACAATCTGCAAGTGAAGCTATAAATTTAAGCAATTTTTGGCTACCGAGTACTATTTTCGTATGCCAGATTTTCTGAAATCCCCCGAAAATGTGTTCAATTGTTTTTAAAGCCCAGTTATTTCACACACCCCCAACTTGTCAGGGCCACTTCCGATTCCTAGGCCCCCTGCTCGTTTTAATAATCAAGTCAGGTGCCTTCATCAGAACATAAATTCGCACTTATGAGGCGAAAGTAGAAAAGTTTGGTAAGCCCAACACTATCTGCAATCGACATACACACGCACTTGCTGAAGGGGGAAAAGAAAGGTGCAGAGGCGGCGGAAGCAGTCATGAAATATTTTTGAGAAAACAATTTTGCAGCAAACAGCTCTCTGGCACTGGAAAAACTCGACAATGCTTGCCAACTATGTAACTTGGTTAATCCTATTGATTTTGATTTGCATACAAATTAGAATCTGCACAGCCACACTGGGGAATTTGAGTTTGGTAAGGAGGATGAGGAGTGGGGAAGTCAAGGGCACTCCAGGCAGTTGGTTAGCAATCTGCCAAAGGATTTCAAACTAAAAACTCCGCACAGGCTGGCTGGCTGCTGGTTGGAGGTGGCAAAAAAGTGTTTAACATGTGTATAACCATATCCAGCTAAGCTTCTTATGCCCTGGCATTAAATTTCAATTTAAGCTGGACGCTTGGAGGGTGAGCATTGGGGATCGAGAATGGGGGAACTGCTCCACATCAGATGGCAGATGGGGAGAGGGACTTTGCCATGGTGCTTGGAAAGCGACGAAGTGCGAATGCTTTGTGAAACAATTAGCATCTTGCTTATTTGTTACCAGAGCAGGGCAAAAGCAAAAGCGAAGTGTGGGTATTCATGTGGGATAGAGTTTTAAAGCATTTTAATGGAACATGAACTGAGCTTAAGGAGGTGGTAGCCATCCTCTTGCGTATTTGCTTTTGCTCTTGCTTTTTACAACCCTCAATATTCAGTGATGTTGGGGCATTGAGATATTTCTCGATGGCTGCTCTTTAAAAATGTAAATTTATTGAAAGAAATATTAATTCTATTTTTAATTTGTGTGTGTTTTTTTTTAATTATTAATTTATTTTTGTATATTAATTAATTATTATTTTTTAAGTAACTTAAATATTTATTTATGTAGACTCTTTGATCACACATATTTGATCTAAATTTAAAAAATTTCATTGAAATATTTTTTTTGCCCTTAATACCTAAATATGATTTTAAGGTACTTACATTCTTGGCCCTCTCTGTAAATATTTGAGCGTGGGTGCGAAACCAGAAGAGTAAAAAAAGAAATTTAATGCGGTGCAAATACTTTTTAAGACGCGTGAGTTTCGCGTGAGTGTTTTAATATCCTTTAATATTTCATTACGCCAGCCGACATCTGCATGAGCAAACAGCATATGGCATATGTATGGTGGGCTCGGTGGGACTCTGCGGCAAGGAATTTCAATTAAGATTAATTCGCGCATATAAAACCGGCTCTGAGTCTGGGGCACCTTGAGTCCGGAGTCCGGAGTCTGGATACTGATGAAATGCCAGGTGAAATTGGGGGTGCCAGGCCGCGTTTTTGGCACCTCCCATGGCAGTCGCGGTTTCTTTTCTCACTCGGCTGCACTTTGGGCCACGCCTGAGCGGCGATGCGTTATGAAGAAGGGCTGGGGGGCCGGGGGTAAAAAGCTTGAGCGGCACCAAATTGTGCCACTTAACGGGTAGCAGCAAAAGCCAAAAGTAAAAAAGTATACAAAAAAGGAAGAAAAAAATAACATCAAGCCAAGCCGCAGCAGCACGGCAAAGAACAACAGCAACAAATTAAAATAAACTTTAATCAGGGTGGGCAAACAAGGAGGAAAAAAGTGAGTGCCAAAGTAAATGCCGGCAGCGCACTAAGTGCTGCGTTTCATCATCATCATCATGAGATGGTCCTGGATGATGGCTCCTCACCTCCTCAGTCCCTCAACCGACTTGTCATCGCTAAAGCGGCAACTGCAGATGCTGCTTCTGCTGCTGCTGCATCACCATTGATAACTGAAGTGCTCGACGGGCAGTAAATATTTTTATTCAAGTTAATAACGTTGCTCTAGTTGGCAGCTTTGGTTTGCCGTTCGCTATTTCCTTTCTGCGCTCTGTGTTTTTGCTTATGCAGCCTGTTTACGGGCCAAGTCCTTTACGCCGCCGTCTATTTACCAGCACTGCAGTTGTTTACTGAGGTTTCCATCATCCGTTGCCGTTCCCTATCTGCGCTCCTCTGTTTGTTCATTAGCCGCTCTGCTCCGGTCGAAAGGCAAAAGCAACATCTGCAACACCAGCAACAGTAGCAGCAACAACCAAGAGAAGCGCCGGATACATTTTTACTCGTCGCTTGTTTTATGCGGTTTCAAATAAATTGCCAGCGAGCATCATTTCCGCTTCCCTTGCCACCGAAAACACCCGACCAACCCCATGATTAAGCAGCCACATTTTTGCTCACTCATCAGTGTGCTCTATGTGCACTTGGAAAAATAAAGATTTAGTTGGTACAATGCAGATTCTTTAAATTTCATTAATATAAAACATTTCTGCCTTCAATAATAGGTTGAACAGGATTTATAGAAAGAAAGAAAACTTTTTTTTAATCAAA